CCCCCGGTCACTCGTGTATCTGTTCACTTGCTGTGGGTTTGCTTTATGATTCTTGTTCCATCACTTAATCCCTCCATTCTCCTTTTTTGCCTAATCTACTTTTCTCTGCGCCGATAACCGTGGCATCGATTTTCCTAAAAAGTAGGGTGGCCAATCCGTGGCTAACAGTCTTTTGAAGGGAAATTGTGATGCCATTCGTTTTTTGTGCAAGAAGAAATATTTACGAGAGCAACTAGCCAGAGACGCTAAGGAACATTGGCACATTGCTGAAAAAACTGAATTGCATCAGCTTTTCCAATTTATTATAAGTTTTTTTCTCGCGCACCGCGACCTTGGTACCCATTCGCCGCAAGGATCACATCATTCCTCATCGTCATCTTTGTTTATCTCTGTAGGAGTAAATCCACTGTCTCTGATTGTGTCAAACCACCCTCACCGATCCTTCACTTTATGGTGTCCGCATATCTTTCCGTCTTTTTCTATTTTGTTTTACTCATTTACGTTATTTCGATAGGACATTTTTACGGTCAGTTATCAGGAAGAGGTAATCGGTCAATCAATGACACTGTAGGATCACGAATTATTGAACCAACTTGGCGACGGTGAAGGGATTCCAACTGGTGACTTTCATTGCAATGTGATGATGGTCTGTATCGGTTGATCATCGCTGCTGCACTATTATTTCTTGTTGTTTTTGGCTCTGTGGACCTAGTCTCGTTTCAGGTCTAACCACACAGATATTTCTCGAAACTGCATCTTCAAAGAATCGTCCTTCGGTAACACGTTTCTCGTCCAAATGGGAACTGAACATGTAGTGAAATAGGACACAGCTGGAAGCATGTGTAGGAATTCATTTATTATGTGAAAATCATGGTTATTTAAAGGAAAGAGCGAGGACAGGGGAATGCACATACCAAACGATTAGTCGAATGGATTGCTGTCAACCTTCTTCAATGGTTGGCGGTGCCGACCAGTCATCTGAGTTCGCGTATCGCTGTTCGAACTGGTTGCCCCAAAACAAAACAGTTTTCACAGAGCATGCTGACTCCTTGACACTTTCCCTCTGGCATCACAGTAAGGATAGATATCCTTACTACCTCAACGAAACGCACTTTGCGTTTATCAAATATAGCCGCACTGGTAGTCACAGTGCAATGCGCGTTTACCCACAACGCAACTGACAATGTATCTAGATTTCCATCGTATTTTTCACAAGGATACTCTTTCTGAATGAACGCATTCCATTCTACATTCAGTCACATTTATTGCATTTCGGGCAGATGAACATCCACTTCACGTCCCCTATCAGCTTTGCATTGCTGTGAGTTGTAAGTGACGTGTGAGGATCATCGAGATTGGGACACAGGGTAATTTACATTGCTGATGCCCGCCAAATGCCGCACTGGTTTTTTTCACACACTCGTACGAACATTACACTGACAGTATACAGGTTCTGCCTGCCCCCGTCACAAGTGTCATAATACGATTCTCCACTCACACTGCGCCGTTCATCCTGCCTCTCAACGTGCAACGTGGTTCAACATGAATCCATCTGTTAGCAATTAAGTTATGTGGACTATCAGTATTGGTTTGGGCAGTTTCGAAGCAACTTGGTAGAACTGTTCATTGTGCAGATTTTCCTGTGTCTAGTTTTGAGACTGGTGGTGATTGTTTCGTAATCCCACCCAAAGCTCGTTTCGTTATAACGGGTGATGTGTGCAGTTCAGCTGACCATGTCCCATTACGAGACAAATCGGTATAATGAATGGTGCTGTCATCGTGTCCGTATTTCCTCACGTAGTTTTGTACTATGTAAAGCAACATAGGAGGATAAACATATCTCGCACGATAAAGAATGAATCATGTGTCCACCATATTCGACACCCTGATTTCTGTGACGAGACACAGAAATCGCCCATAAAGTAAATGCTCATTCGAGTAGGGCTATAAATTTAAGTGCTTTGAAAATCGGTCTGTGGAATTTTAAGCCCTATCGACTCGGAATGTTTGCTTTTCAACCGCCCGGTACGTTAATCGGATAGACTAAACCGCGGTGATTTGCCGTCAATCCGTGATACAGAATTCGTCAATCTCTTTGCACGATCGGTCGTGCTACACTCAACAATTGACTCATTGTTGCCATCGGTTTTGATGTGATGTCAAATTTGTTAGAGAAGCTATAACAGGGTAGCCATGTATTGGGATCACGTGTTATCTAGGAGCGTTTTGCTTGTCTCCAGCATCAAATCTCTGCACGTTTTGTCAGAAGAAAACAGATTCATTTAACCAGTTTTCGAATATAGTATTGGTGGTAAGTGTGAAATAGGCCGCGAAATCCGACATGTGGGGTTTTGCGTGATGCGATTGTCAAATCAAAACGGTTCTCTGATGGTAGCGCAATTCCCCTACCGTTCTTTTTCGCTTACTTTGACCTATTCAGTCTCATCCGCCAATGACGTTTGCAGGCGATCTTCAAAACGTGCACATTCTGCACTCTCCTGGTTGATCGACCGTTTCAGTTTGTGGAACCATTAACCTTTCACTTTTATGCGACAGCGACCCCTTTGGTTCACTAATAAGGAAAGTGTGAATGGAAGAGTAGAAAAGTTGAGAGCACTATCCAGAAAAGAAAATATAGAGAGCAGACAAATTAGATCTACATTGAAACTGAGTAGATGTGTGAAAACCAGTGATAACAATGTTCACTTTTATCACCCAGTATCTTCAAGGATTGGTTATTTTTCATTTCGAGATCCCTAACCGAGAAACCTAAAAGGATATTATATGTGGCCGAATTTAGTGACCACAGTTTTCATATCCTCATAATTTGACCGTCCTTGATATTTTTACCACCACTGTTTGTCTGTCTCGGTNGCCGAAGCTCATTGGGTTACCTACGCCACACATCCCGAATATCGCAATCAGTGAAGGAGGCTAAACATCAGCGAGTTGTATACCGTTTCTGACCGTACGTTTAACTCGCCTGAATGATTGTCTTTCATCATTTTGAGCCTTCATTTATTTTTCTCAAAACCAAATTCATTCGAAGCATTCCCATCCAAGCTACAACTGTATTAGCGGATTGTTGGGTTCATGGTACAAGTACCTACTTGATATCACAGACCAAACGGCTAAAAATGAAAAATACACAATACTGGATCGTACAATCAAACAGATTCGTAGCATTCGTGCGCCATACGATGAGATTGAGGCCTATTCAGATCGGCCAGCTTCACTTTGGCCTGACGCAGTGCAACATATATCATTGTTAGGGTTGTATGTTGTACGCTGCTGTCATTCTCATTCACCGGTTCCGGTAATCCAACAGTAGGTCCCTTTGTCTAAAGGGTTTATACCTTCTGCTGTTCCTCATTTCCTTCTATGAAACCCCACAGTTTTCTGAACTGTGTTCCTTGAATCCATTGTTTGTTGCACTCTGTTCCCGTTGAACATTTGTGTTTGTCGCATTTTCAAATTTCTCGGAACCATTTACTAGGTGTTTTGCTAGTTCTCATAAACTTAGCTTTTGTGATAATCTACACCTGTGCTAATGCACTCAGTTCTATCCCGGTTGGCCCCTCCCAGCTCTGAGTTTCTCGGACCATTCTATACCGCAACCGATTTAGATACAGTCACATTTCTCGCCGACATTCACACTAGACCCTGCTATATCTTGTCTGTGGTCCAAATGTGGAAAGGTATGTTCGTAGAAGCCCAAAGAAATGTGCACTTACCTCCCCTGGTTAGTTC